ATATATATATATATATATATATATATATATATATATATATATATGTATATAAAGTTTAAAAAAAAATGATATACCAGATTTTTGTATGAATAATAAGTATATGAATGCGGAAGTAGTTAAACCTTCTTCAATACATCATTCCGGCCATTTTTGTTCTTGTTATAAAAGGGTAAACTTAAGTTGTAATTGTATATTGTATATGTGTTTGATACTTCTATATACTTGTGTATGCGTGAATGTGTATGTGTGTATATATTTTTTCTTTTTTTTTTTTTAACATCGGAAGAGAAGTAAAGTTCCTCTGAGGGCATGTTGGATATATAAAAAGGTTCTCGTTAAAAGAAAGAAAAGATGAATGAAAGAAAGAATGAAAGGTACAAACAAACAAAAATATATGGAAAAAAAAAAAGAAAAAGAAAAAGAGAAAGAGTAAGAGAAAGAAAATAATATTCTATTGTCGTCACAGATGATACAGTCCGCTGGAATGCAGCAATCTCCGGATGGCCTCAGTCTTGATCCCGGTGGGTACCAACAACAAATGTACCTGCAACAGGAACACTCGATGCAAGCCATCAATGTCAGGTAAATTATATTTTTTCAATTTTCAATTTTGTTTAATAATAATTTAATTTTGTTTTGGTTTTTTTTTTTTTTTATTTTTCTCACATTTTATTATTTATTTAATTTTGTTTGAGAAAGGTTTTTTGTATTATTTGTTTAATACAATTTATATATGTATATAAATTACGTGTCACGTTGTTTGTCCGCAATGGACTCCTAAACTACTGAACCGATTTTAATCAAATTTTTCACACTGTATGCAGTTTCATCCAACTTGAAAGATAGGATAGTTTATATCTCAATTTATGATCGCAATATTATTTTATAGCGAATTATTTGTTTATTAACAAGGAGTCATGAGTATCTCTGTTAGTTCGATAAGATTCTAACAGATGGTGGTATAAGGTAATTCGTTAACTTAAAGACGTGTGTATCGGACTGATTGTGAGCCATAGCAACTCGTGACGGGACACCCCTATTATATATATATATATATTGAACAAGATTTTTTTTATTTTGTTCGTCGTATACTTCAATCATTTGAAGAATACACAATGTCTTACTATTTAATTGATTTTTAATTTTCTTACATTAGTTTCTTTATTTTTTTTTATTTATTTAATTATATATATGTATTGAAAATAATTTTAATTTTTCTTTGAATACTCTTCAATCATTTTAAAAACACACAAAGTCATAATTTAATCGACATTCATTTTTCCTTTATTCAAAATGTTTTCATATTTTTGTTAAATCTCTGACAACTTTAAAAAAATAATTTATTTTTATTTTTTGTTTTTTTTTTTTAAATTCTGTTTATTAGATATAAGAAATATAATTTGTGCGTTTTAATTACCTTAGTCGGATTTCACCGTTATTTTTCTTTTTAACCAACCAGCCCACAGGGGCTTTGTGGTTTTTACGATCGGGAAAAATAAGAAAGAAAAGATGTAATTTAAAAAAGTTTCTCACACGGAGAAAGAAAAAGCAAAGTAATTAATTTGGAAAAAAAAAGTCTCTCGCGAGATAAGAGAGAATTGTTAATAAAGTTAAAAGATAAAGAAAGATAATTTTTTCATTCGTAATTTAATATTTAATCAAAATAGAAATCAAATTTGCAACAAATTTACTAGCAATTGTTAATTTTGAAAAGACAAAAAGTTCGCTTATAGTTGTCCAACAACACACACAAAATAAACGGCTTAACAAATTAAAAAAAAAAAAAAATAATAAAAAAGTAACCCAGTAGGATATCCATAACACTAAAAGTAAAAATAAAAAAAGAAGAAAAGTATCACCGAGACCGGTTGGAATGACCGGTTTTAAATTTTGAATTAAAATTCAGCATTCAAATGTTAATTGCTTTTCTTCATTTGCCTTTACGACCATTATAATCATAAACAGGTATTTTATTATTATCGAAAAATTATCTTGTATATATATATATATATATACATATATAATTTAAACTTGTATCAAATTGATTATTATCTGCATTCAATTAAAAACAAAATAATATTAAGAAAAAAAAAAAAGAAATACATGAATTTTATCAAAAGATTCAATTAATTCGATCTGTTATGAATAAAATAATTTTTATAATACATAAATAAAATTAATTATCTAAAAATATTTAAATAAATAAATATTAAAACATTGATTTTGAATTAACTGTGTTTTAACTAACACGCGTTGATGTTGCAATAAATGATAAATGTTAGGTTATGTTCAAATGTTTCGTGCATTCATCAAAATCTATGACCAGCAAATGGCACTGATCTTACCTGGAATTTTTTTTTTTAATTAATTAATTATTTTCTAAATAAATTAAAGTAATAAAAACCTAGTTGTATACGAATGCAACTTTGTGTCAAAATTTCAAAACAATCTGGTAAAGTATTTTTGGAGATTTGGGGTTAGGAATAAACAAAATTTACATTTTTTATAAATATATTGGATTGACAACTAAGTAATTGTTAATTTTTCTAATCATTTTCTTTGAAAAATGAAGATTAAGAATGAAATTAATTCAATTCAAGATTAACACTTTAATGGCCGCACGTGTACACAGTCAAACGTCACCAGGAACCGGTAAGGTTTTGAAATATTAATTTAAAAAAACTGAAATTAAATTCACGGAAACAAAATTAACATAATAAAAAAAACAACAAATTTAATTTTATATAATTTTAAATATATAAAAAGTTATAAATAAATAACAGCCAATAACGTTTGTTCCGGCTATCACACACATGTTGTATGAGCGGCCATTAACACTAGATATACCACCACCATTTTCTACCACACTAGTCAAAACGACTAGTGTATAAAAAAAACAAAATGCTTTTTGAGGCTTCCAATCTTTATTTACTCTTAAAAAATAACCAAAAATATTCAACAATAATAATTTTAATAGATAAATAAATTTATAGACATTTTTAAATAACAAAATGCTTAATTACTTACAGAACTCTTACATGATGTAGAAATTTTGAATTAAAATGGTGACGACCAGTCAAAATGACTGGTCTGATATATCTAGTGTTAAAAGTGTTAAGAATTACATTTCAAAAATTTCATATTTTGTAATCAAAAAAAAAAAAAAGAAAAGATGATTAGACAATTGTTTTAATTTTATAATTTATAAAATGAAGGAACAAGGTTTTTTTCTTTTCAAAACACCACCCTCCTCTCACCCTTCTTTCTTTCTCACCCCCTCGTTATCCCGAGTCAGCAATGAAACATGTCAGTCTTTCTCTCTTTTTCTTTCTTTCTTTCTGTTTGGCACGTTAATGCTATTTTCTTCTTCGTTCATTCGTCCTTCTCGAATTGACCATCCGAAAAGAAGAAGAAATTTTCTTCTCGTTCGTTCCCGCGACACTCGAACAAGTGGCGATGATTGGAGAATAAGCAAGGCAAGGCCCCAACAAAGGAAGATTAATGAGTCCTCGGGCTTCGTGCTTCTTCATCGTGTTCTTCTTCTTCTTCTTCTTCTTCTTCTTCTTCTTCTTCTTCTTCTTCTNTCTTCTTCTTCTTCTTCTTCTTCTTCTTCTTCTTCTTCTTCTTCTTCTCCACTTCTTTCTTATTCATATTTTTATTCGTTTTCTTTTCCTATTTTTTTCATTTTTTTTTTTGTACTCATCCCTTTTTTTTCTGTTCTTTTTCTTCAATGACCAATGACGTTTCGAAATGTCTTGGTACGAAACTCTGTTTCTCTGTTTCTTTCTGTTTCTTTTTCTTTTTTTTTTCTTTTGTTTATTCTATTTTGGTGTTGAGAAGAATGGATTAGTAATTTCTCTCGTAGTAACACGTGTTAAAGTTAAATCGAATTTATCGACCATTTGTCTTATTTTAAGGTACTTTTGTTTTTGGTTTTATTATTATTATTAAATTATAATGTGAAATTCATTCGTAATAATAATAGGTGGGAAAGAAAATTATTATTATCAAAATTATTCAATTTATCAAAATTATCAAAATTATATATTCAAAATTATTATTAATATTAATTGTATATTAATATTACAATATATAAAAATATTACAAAATTATATATTCAAAATTATTATTAATATTAATTGTATATTAATATGACAAAATATAATAATATTACAAAATTATTATTATTATTAATTATATAATAATATTATAAAATTATTATTAATATTAATTAATAAATAACAGATATTATAGATATTATCCTATATAATAATATTACAAAATTATTATTATTATTATTAATTTTATAATAATATTACAAAAATTATTAATAATATTAATTATGGGAAGAGGAGGGAAAGGAGGAAAGGATGAGGTTGAATAAAATGTAAAAGGATTGTAACCCTTCGGGGAATCAATAAAGATTTAATTCTATTAATAATATTAATCATATATTAATATTACGAAATTATTATTAAATTATTATATTAGCAAAAGAGATGTTAATTTAAGTAAATAAATTAATTGATCAATTGCAAACTATATAATATCATCGTAATGAATTTTGCTTTTATGCACATCTTATTATCTTTAATATTTTGTAATAATTTTATAATATTTTTATATTTTTATTTTTTTATTTTTTTTTTTTCAATTAGTAACTATAAAGTATAATATAATAATAATAATAATAATAATAATAATAATAATAATGTAACTTGTCAAAAGTTATATTAAATAGTCAAGATTTTTTCATATTTTTGTATATTCACATAAATGAATTTTTAGTAATACGAATAAACAGAATAACATAACGAAAAAGAAAATAAAGAATAAAAGAGAGAGAGAGAGAGAGAAAAGATTGATTTATTAAATATTTATGTAAAATAATATTATTCTCTTTCGAATGAGAAATCCATTTTTGTTTTTTTTTTTTCTTTTTCTTTCCATAGAATAAACGACATTTGTGATGATATATTTCGTAATAAAAATAAAATACGATAAGAATTATAACGAGTCGAGAATTCTTTTAAAAAGAATGAATCATAATGTACACTCATCTATAATAAATATCCTAATTTTTTTCTTCTTTTCTTTTTTTTTTTTTTATATACTAGATAAGATATTAAAAGAGAAGAGTATAATAAAAGAGAAGATAAAAGCTATAAAAAAAAAAAAAAAGAAAGGGAATTCATTATCATACTATTTCCATTACCATTTTGACTCTTCTTACCGTACTAGAATATTTAAAGTATATATATATATTTAAAAGTCTTTTGTGAATTGTCTCAAAAGAGAAATCGTAAAAAATGCTTTTTTAAATGAATTCCATGAAATTGAATTGCCCCGGTGATGGTTGGTTTAGTTGTTGTGTTGTAACCGGTGGTAGTTGGTAGGAATGACACCTTGTGTGCCATACAATACATTATATTAAAATACATATATACGAAGAATTAATAATATTCGTTTAAAAAAAAAAAAAAGTAGGAGGGAAAAGAAATATAAATAAATAAAAATCCATTAACCACTGTATAACTCTGTATAAAAAAAAAAATTATAATACAAACAATAAATAATCTTACATTGAAAAAAAAAAAAAAAACAAAATGAACAATCTCATTTCGCGTATGCAATTTAAGGCTTGTCAAAATTATTTTTCTTTTTCTTTTTTGTTTACAGTAATAATAGTACAGCATAAAAATTAATTGTAATAATAATAATAATAATAATAATAATAATAATAATACAATTTATAATAATAATAATAATAGGTACCACACTCCACCATTTTTCAAAGATATTATTAACTCCATGATAGAATAAAAAGAGACTAGAATAAAAAGAACTAGAAAGAACTAGAAAGGTTTTAAACGTGTGTATATGTGTGTGTGTTTGTTTGGTAAATATTTCTTTTCTATTTTAATTCTTTTTATTTTCTATTATGATTGCAACATCTTTGTTTGTCAGTTGTAAGTAAGATTATGATGACCAATGAGAAATAAAGAAAATAAATAAATGAAGAAAGAAAACAGATAGATAGGAGTGGGGGGAGACTGGGAGAAAAAAAGAAAATGGAAGGAAACAAAATGGCAGTTCCGAGAACTTTGTTAAAAAACTACAGAAACATAAATCTTTTTCAACTTGTAAAAAGGGATGGTGGTGGTGGTAGTACCAACCAAAAAGTTCTCCAATGAAACGAGTCAAAAGACTCGTATATATAATATAGTGATGTGTAATAGTAGTTTTACTAGTAAAATAGTAATAGTTAAGAGTTAAGAAGGTAGGAAAAAGTTTTCTCTTGGTATTTTGCTTGGTTTAGGATCTTTGCTTGCAAGAAAAAAAAAAAGAAAAAGAAAAAAAAAACAAGAAACAAAACAAAAAAAGAAAATATATGAAGCACATTGATTAATCAACCCCGATTTTTGTGCATAGATAATAAAGGGTTATTTACACGTATAGAAATGTACGATTGCAAAATTTAGTAGTGGTTTGTATTTTTTTTTCTTTTTTTTTTAAATATCTTTTTTTTTTACGATTTCTCAACGAATCCAATGAATATGCAATAGCAATCGAAAGGTAATTCGTACGACCATTTGAAATCCAATTAGTACTCGGTGTTCTTTTTTATTATATTTTTTTTATTTTATTTCTATTCTTTTTCTTTTTTTTTTTTTTTGTGTCGTTTGACCCGATTTATTTTTTGTTGTTGTTGGTAGTAAAATCGAACGTGAGAAAAACGATTGGATATAGTTATATGTATAAAATACGTGGGAGTAATATATATATATATATGTAATATCCGATTCGAAATAGAAAACACGAATGGTAGTTGTGTATTGGTGATGAAGAAGGAAGTAGAAGTAGAAGAAGAGGAGGAGGAGGAGGTGGAGGTGGAGGATTGAAATATAGAAAGAGAAGAGTATAATAGTAGTGTAATGTTGTTGTAGTAGTAATAGTAGTAGTAGTAGTAGTAGTAGTAAGCAGTATTAGTATTAGTATGGAGATGCCGAGAAGATGGCTGATGTAGAGTAGGCTGTAAATCCTCCGACGCTGACACAGCGCCGGTCATATCTCAAAAGTTATCCAATTTGTGTTAAAATAGCACTCGCTATGGATCCTCCTACACCTCCTACACCTCCTCCTTCCTACCCCTCTCTTCCCCTTCTCATCCTCTTCTTCTTCTTCTTCTTACTCTTCCTTACACCACTCCCTTGGGGTTACCTTCTACTACCGCAAACTAACCTATCTTTCTCTCTCTCTCTTTCTCTCTTTGAATTCCATTTTGCTTTCTATTCCTTCACCGATTCTTTCGAAACTTCTAATAATAAGTATGCTTAATGTATACATTTAAATATTTATATCTTTGTTTGATATATTAGATCATTCTTTCCTTTCCTTTTTTATGTTTTCAATAACAATTTCCATATTCTATTGTGTTGGGAAATAAATGATTGCGAATTTTGTCGATAGGTGGCTTTTATAAAATCAGCAATGAATTAATTGCCAATCCAATACTATTATTCTTTTATTAAATTAAATATAAAATATATATTATAATAAATTAAATTATAATAAATTATTATATATAAATTATGAAAAAAATAAATATTCATAACCTATAATTCAAACGACCTTTTGTAAATAAGATGAATATATATATATAAATATAAATAAATAAGATTAATTATAATAAACAAATAATACAAAAAGAACTAATTAATAAAGATTATTAATAAAAAAAAAAAAATACAAATAATCATAACCTCTAAAATTCAGACCCCAATAACTTTTGTAATAATATTAATAAATTATTACAAAATAATTATTAACTATTAGTAATTAATTATTACTTATTAAGTTTTGTTACATTTATTTTATTTTATAATAATATATGTTCATATATATATATATATATTTTTAGTTCAGCGTATAGCAGTCCTCAAGGATCATATACGACTATGAGTTCACCACGTCAACAGCATAGCAATTTGTTGTTACTTCAACAACAACAACAGCAACAACAACAACAGCAACAACAACATCAACAACAACAACAGCATCAACAACAACAACAACATCAACAACAAGTGCAACTACAACATATGCAATATATGCATTCTCAGCAACAACAACAACAACAACAGCAACAACAGCAGCAACAACAACTTCAACAATTACAATATAGGAGCCCAACTGGTGGTAGTCCACCTGCTATTCAATCTAACATACCTGAAAATAATAATACTACCACTAGTGAAGATAGTGATGACAGTACACCTCATTCAGGAACTGTAAGTAATTATGGTGATAATATCTCTTCATCATTATTTTCATTTGATTTTCTTTCTTTGTACTTCATTTTGTAATTTTTCTTATCCTTTTTCTTTTTTTCTTTTTATTCTTATCAGATCGCTGGAATTAAACGACCGTCACCTGAACCGACAGATGTGGGAGCTAAAAATCAGAGGAAAACTAAATCACAAAAGAAGAAGAAGAAGAGAGACCCTAACGAACCCCAAAAGTGAGCCCAGTTTGAAGCTGTTTAATTAATCTTCGAATACTAACTGAACACTGATCCTGAAAACAAACGATGTTTGGAAGTATCAGTTTTGATTCGTAATAAAATTATATTTTGACGAATTCAATAACATTTTTTGTTGCCAATGAATACTCGATAAATTAATTAATTAGTTTTTTTTTTTTTTTTAATTTCGTGATAACTGAAATGTTGCATCTCGCAATAAAATACACAGATATCTTAAAAGAAGAATTTCATTTTTTTGTTTTTTTTCAGACCAGTCTCAGCGTACGCTTTATTCTTCCGAGATACACAAGCAGCCATTAAAGGACAAAATCCTAATGCGAGTTTTGGCGAAATTTCGAAAATAGTTGCATCAATGTGGGATGCTTTGGAAATCGAGCATAAGAACGTAAGTAAAAAAATTCTTTGAACTAACAATTGTTAATAAAAAAAAATATAAATTGACGATAAAGATTCGATTTGAAATTGATATTAGGTGAATCGAAAAATAATATCACTTTTTAACCTCAAAATTCAAACGAATCAATTTTTCAAACAAAAGTTTTTATTATTAATCAATAATTACATTATTTAATTTCAATTAAATAATCAACCTTTTTCTATCTGTTATACAAATTTGTAATATCGTAACGATAAAAATCATGAATCGGGTTTTTTTTTTTCATTTAAAATATTAGAAATAATTTGACATGCGTAGTTAACGGCCATATTACTTTTCAAAAAAGAAAAAAAAAAACATTCAAACTATCAACCAACAAAGTTACTTTTCAAATTTGTATTTAAAAAAAAAACTTGTTTAAATTAACATAATTTGAAGAAATTTGAATGAATCAATAAATTACAATAAATTAGATGAAAAAGAAAGAAAGAAAGAAAAATAAAAAGAAAAGAGAAAAAAAATTAAAAATTTCGATTGATTTAAAACGATTTATTTAAACAAGCATTTTTAAACGTTATATTACACGTTTAAAAAAAAAAAAAAAAAAAAAAAAAAAAAAAAAGATGAAAAATATCGAGTTATTTCTTGACTCGTGTTGATAATATTTCTCAATTTTGTACACGTCGAAAGACACCACGGAATAAATTATCTCGAAGAATCGAATCACACTACGCAAATGTGTTGTACACTCATATACAAAAACATACACACTTATATATACAAATAATATATAGGGTGTATATACATACAACGTTGGAAATAACAAGTTTAAAAAGAAGGAACGCGTATACACATAGTATATACATATTATATACACATATACATATATATATATATATATTCCGTTGTGCGTTTTACGTGATAGAATGGAACCGGTTTACGATATACCAGTCCCACTATTTTTCTCCGCTCTATTTCGTAGGAACTTATACTTAACTTGTACACACGAGACAACGTCCCGAATAAAATTATTATATTTCTCTCTCGTGTATAATAAAACATACAAGTCGAATGTTTAAAACTATAACTTTTATCATCCATTTTGAAAAAGATCAAAAGAAAAGAAAATACAAGGTACACATATATATATATATATAACATAGAATAAAAATAATATGAATGATCAACGTTTAAGATATATTTTTTGTTTATATTATACATTTTATCTTCTTATTTGTATCTTATCTTATTATTTTATATTTTTTATATTTATATTTATATGCGTAACACACACCCATACTTTATTATACATATATGTATACACACGTATCAGCTTATTGCAATTTAACTCAAAAAAATTATTTCCATTCTTTTATTTGGGGATATCATAAATTATTGTTAATGAATATTCGAAAAAAAAAGAATTTCAAAAAAAAAAAAAAAAGAAATATTGGATATAAGAGAAAAACTTCGAAATTCGTTTATATATTTTAAATTAATTCAGAAATGAGAGAGAAACAATTTTATATTTTATATTCTTCCAATTCTCAAATGTCGAATATATGTGTGTGTGTGTGTTAGTATAAAATAATAGAATGAGGGAAAGCTAAAAAAAAAAAAAAAAAAAAAAAAAAGTAAGGTTTTCTATTTGACATTAATTCAGAATAAACGAGACATATTTTTTTTATTCATCGTAGAAAAATTCAAATGTGTATATATGTATATATGTGTGTGTGTATGTGAGTGTGCAATAAGAGAATGGAAAAAATAGAGAACAATAAGAAGACTAAAAAAATAAGCTTGTATTTTTAATTAATTCAGAACAAACGGGACATATTTTTTATTCCGTTAATATTCAAATATGTATATATGTATATATATATGTATAATATATATGTACGTGTATGCAATAATAGAATGGAAAAAACCTAGCTAGCACACAAGCAATACAAAAAAAAAAAAAAAGGAAAGTTTATATTTTAAATGAATTCATAACACAAAAGAGCCATATTTTTTTCACTAATATATTATATAAATTCAAATATATATCTATATATATATCTTATGCTTGTGTGAGTATTTGTGGAATAAAATTGGGTAGCATTTTAATTAAAAAGAAAAATGAGAAGTAATAATAAACACAGAAAAGAATATAAATTGTCGAATGTGATAAGAAGAAGAAGAAGAAGAAAATAGAAAATAGTAGGTGTATGGTGGTGGTGGTGGTGGTGGTAAAAAAAGAGTAGATAAAGATGGCGAACGAGTAAGAGGGGGTGTACCGTGGCGGAAGGGAAACAATATATAAGAGGATAATTCCGTGGAAAGTGCATTTTAATTTCGCTACATCTAGGACGACGATATGCAGTTAGACTAGGTGGAATCTTGATTAAATTCCCTTTCCGTGCCCGTTTTACTAGGAGAGAAAGAGACCACCACCACTACCACGTTTCTTTCTTTCTTTCTTTTCTTTTCTTTTCTATCTCTGTCTCTATTTTTCTCTTCTTTCTTTTTCTTTTTTTTCTTTCATTTTTTTTCTCTGTCTCTCTTTCTCTCTTTCTCTTATTCTTTCGTTTCTTACTCGTACTCTACACGCACCATAGCAAAAAAACGTTTTTTTTTTTTTTTTTATCGTGCGAACATATTCTTTCCGGACTGTACAGAGAGAGAGAGAGAGAGAGAAAAGGGGTGGGAGTAGAAGAGGGTGAGTAGAGTGGGGGGAGTAGAGAGAAATGAAAATTTGCACTTTGTTGCCTATAAAGAAAAGGAAAGAAGAGAATAGAATAAAAGAAAAAAAAAAGAAAGAAAGAGAGAGAGAGAGAGAGAGAGAGAGTATGAAAGTTACTTTTCATTGCGAAACTTTTGTTAAATGAAAGAAATAACCGGATAGTCTCTTCTCTCTCTCTCTCTCTCTCTCTCTCTCTCCCTCTCCCTCCCTCTGTCTCTCTTTCTCTTTCTTTAGAATTATTACTAACCATTTGATATTTCATTTGTATTGAAAACAAAATCATAACTTATATTTCAATACATTTAATTTATCTTATTTTTATAATCATTAAATATATAAAATAATAATAATAATAATAATAATAATAATAATAATAATAATAATAATAATAATAATAATAATAATAATAATAATAAATAATTTTTAGGAAAATAATATTTTCTTTTTAAAACCTAACCTCTTATATTATTATTATTATTATTATTATTAAATGGCATTAGGAACTCGGAAGTTTATTGCCGCTAATACCGCCATTGTTCCCGTCCCTGAAAAAAATAAAAAAGAATTATTTTCCTACAAATAATATTTTTTTTTTTTTGAAAACCTAACCTCATATAAATAAAAAAAGAATTATTTTTAGGAAAATAATTTTTTGTTGAACCTAATCTCTTGTATATAAATAAAAAAGAATTATTTTTCTAAAAATAATTTTTTTCTTTTGAAAACCTAACCTCTTATATAAATAAAAATGTTTTATCGATAAGTTTACCGTTGTAATCAATTTTCAATGAAGCTCCGTTATTATTATTATTATTATTATCATTATTATTATTATTATTATCATTATTATTATTATTATTATTATTAATGTACAATTTGTAGTTTCTATTTCTATCTTTTTAAAATACTATTATACTGTTACTATTACTCATAGCAAATCGTAGCAATCTAACATCTAATTTTCATGCCCCTCACGGTACAGTCGTAAATTCACCGCGTCGATAACATTGTCGGAGTTTATTACATTGCATCTATCCTGTTGAATTTTTTTTCTTCTTTTTTTTTGTTGTGTTGTTGTTGTTACATCGATTGCATCCGAACTAATTATTATTATCATTATCATTCTCTCTCTCTCTCTCTCTCTCTCTATTTCTTATATAGAAAATGAAATAACGTATCTTACGGATGAATAAACACGTCGTTTACTAATCAAGAAAACACATGTTATTAATACGTAATATACAGGGTGACTCACAAATTCTTAGATATAATTATGAATAAAATAAAAATACAATTTATAATTAGTTTTCCTTTCTATTTGATATTACAAATAAGTCTACAATTGTAATAATCATTTAATTTCTTGTTCCTCAACTTTTCTTATTTACAATTAAACTTATAATTTTATTACAAATTAGATTTGAAAAAGTAGTTTTACAATTTTAAAGAGTAAAATGATTATTAGAACTTAAAATGGGAAAAGCCTTGGAAATAAAGTTATACTTTTAAAAATAATCTTATCAAACTTTCGATCTATCTAGAAACTTTTTGCATATACTATACACAAATGTTATTAGTTAAACGAAAAGGAAAAAAAAAAAGAAAGAAAAAAAATGTTAACTTATGAATCATTAAAATAAATCGATTCATTCGAATCAAGTTTTGAGATCGTATAATTTATATCGTTCAAAAGAAAGAAAAAAAAAATAGAAAAAATTCTAGTAGGAAGTTTAAATTAGAATTATGATTAGAGTATGATATATACAAACGTGCACATACACATATAAATACATATATACGTATTATAATGTAACCATATTATCTTGGAACGATTGAAAAGTTTACATGTTGGAATAAAATCGGTTCGTGTTTAAAATTTTCTATTCACTTCCGGTATGTACGATAACTTCGTCAAACACAGTAGCGGTAAATTATAAATGATGTTGGCTTATAGTTTCTCTACTACGATCGATATAACTCGTTCGTTCTCTATTCTTTCTTTTTTATTTTTCTTTCTCACACAAATACACAACACACACACACATATATGTATATATATACTTTTTTCATTATACTTCGAATACAAGCCACAACAAGAAGTTACTTTAATAGCCTTTAGAACCGCATATATTGGAACACGTGGCTATCAAAAATAAGTCGAAGTAGAAGGCCGTCGTGCTTTCAACTTCGATGTCATGCGATTATATCAACGAAAAGAAGAAAAATAAATATTAAATAAAAAAAAAGAAAAAAACTAGAGATACAAGAATGTAAATTGGCAGGTGTATCATGTTACTCGTTATTAAATATGTATATAATATATACATGTATATATGTTATGTATACATTGAAAACTTGCTGCCTGCAATGCGGCAAATGCAAGAGATATCCGGGAAAGGAATTAAGAATATATTACGATGGGGGATCAAATCTGAAAACAAATTATTTGATTACTCATACACTTATCTTTCGATTAATTATTTAAAACATGTCAAACAATATTATGCAAATGAATTATTAATGAATACGTCACGTTCATTATAAATCTACAATCAAATAATTATTATATATAAATATACATTTACATAAACATTTTTATATATATATATATATATTTAAATGAATACAAATTGAACATTTATTTTAGGTTTATAAGAAAAAGACTGAAGCAGCAAAGAAGGAATATTTGAAGGCTTTAGCAGCGTATAGGGCTTCTTTGGTTAGTAAAGGAGCTGCTGAGAATGAACAACAACAGCAGCAACAGCATCAGCAACAACAACAACAACAGCATCAACAACAACAACAACAACAACAACAGCAGCAGCAACAACAGCAACAACAACAGCAACAACAACAGCCGCAAGTGCAATACACCGGATATCCTAATTACGGCGGAAATGGTGCACCAGGAAATGTTGCATATGAAGTTTACAGTCCGCAACCGCAACCATCATCACCTCAACAACAACATCAACAACATCAGCATCAACAGCATCAACATCAGCAGCAACATCAGCAGCAACAGCAGCAACAACAGATGGCCATTAAGAAGTCACCGCATCATCTTACGATGCAGGGTAATCCTCAACAGCAGGCACAACAGGTAACAGACTTATTTTTTTGTTTCTTTCCCCCTCCCCCTCGTTTCTCTCCCCCCTTTCTTCTCTCTTTTTACTTTTACATATCTTTATTTTAATCGCCGTAAACATATACGAGATGAGAAGGTGAAACCTTTTACGTTCGGTTGCAGGGATTATTGGGCAATGCCATGGCATCGGCGCATATGACACAACAACACATGCAGCAACAGGTGTCACAGCAGCAATACATGCAGGTCGGTGTAAGAAAATCTTACGTAGGTGTATATACATCTGTATGTATATGTCCCGTTATTTTTTTTCTTTTTTCAAGTTCTATTCGGTCTAATAGATTATCCCCCAAATCTAGGAATTAAATATTAATTAATCAGAATTATTAGTAGTACATTACTTATAATAGTATACTAAATACTAATTACAAAGAGAATGTTTATAAATTTTTCAAATTTCGCGCCGTTTTGAATATATAATCGATTTATCGTCTATATCGAATCTGTCGATTATTCAAGCCGCAAAATGGCTGCCACGAATGCTATTGATACATCCAACAAAATATACTCTATGTTTTGCTTACGACAACCCGGAAGTTATTATTTTGTGAGTAAAAGTTGTCGTTTAAGTGGATAGTATTTTTTAACAAGGTCAAAACAATTATCTAAAAAATATTCTATAATACCATGTGAAACATAACCTCCAGAATATATATATATATATATATATATATTTATAAACAGCCCAAATAAAGATATTTATAGATCATTCTGATAAATAGTTTTGTTTTTTCTTTTTCTATATTTAATATAGGTGCCACAGCAACAAGTACAGGTACAAGTACCTCAACAACAACAAATGATTCATATGAGCCCTCCTAGAGGAGATTCACTTTCAAGCCCACCTCCGGTAAGTGGTTCGCAAGCTGCCATGGTAGGACAAAGACAACCAACAAATGCATGTATCCGTCATGGATGTCCAAATCCTGCAGTAGCCAATAGCGAATGGGAAGATGAGTATTGCAGTAATGAGTGCGTGGTCAGCCACTGCAGGTTTGTGTGAGCATTCTTTGTATTTCTTTATTGCCACATTAACTCGTATAATAACTGTTGTAAAACAAAACACAAAAAAGGAAAGAAATAAACCAGTGATTATACGAGAACTGCTAATACATACGACTAGTTTTTTTTTTTTTCTTTACTTAATGGTGTAACTTTGTTTTTTTTTCTTTTTTCATTGTAGAGATGTCTTCACCACGTGGGTATCGTCGAATCAAAATCCTCAGCAGAATTTCTCCACTGTGAAATAAGTGTTTACGCAAAATGATGTCGAACTACGTCGTTAAACAAAAATTACATAAAGGTTTTTGCCAATGCGAGGAAACCTGTTGTTAACAGTAAGATATCTAAACTAAAATGTGTATATATAGAGGCCACAGCGGAATGACAAACAAAAAACAAAAAAAAAAACAAAAGAAAAAAAACAAAGGGAAAAGTCAGCGCTAAAATACTATCATAAAATACAGTAAGGACTATAAAATGAAATAAAACTCAAAAAACAATCTCACGAACTATTGTATGCGTAAAGAAATAATATAGCATCAGGAAAAAGCGAATAATCACATAAAGATATACCTACACATACATATAGACATACATACATACCTACATAAATACATTTTAAATCAGATAGAAAAAAATACAAATGTATTTATGTTACACTTTGTAGAACGGACAGATACATACTTGTAAATTAAGAAGCCTTATTTACAATAATCCATTTTACTCTGGTCAAAAAGTGTCTATCTACAAAGCTCGGGGCATATACTACTACTATTAGAAAATGAGAGAGCAGGATTAAGTAACCAGAATGAGAAAAGAACTAAAGAAGAAGAAGAAGAAGAAGAAGACTTTGCAACAATTTTCCTTTTTCATAGGATTGCAATAATAAACTAACTACTTCTTTGTTGATAGACGATACGAGGCGTGCCAATTGTACAGTTAATACAACAAACAGTACGTTCGTTCTTTTTAAAGTCCCGAATTAATAATAGATGAAAAAACAATTTTTCACACTAATGATCCATTGATATGATTCTTAGATCATTTTTATTGGGAATCCATTTTAAAAAGGACACACGACACGAAAATAATGAAATAAAAATTCAAATCGTCCTTATTGTACGAATTTACATCCATAATAATAATAATAATAATAATAATAATAATATGATAATGAAGATTTTGAAAGAATTATAAAATGAGACAGTGGATGAGAGAACATTATAGTCGTACCATTTTAACGGGGTAAATGAGAAATACAGAGAAAGAGGAGAAGAGGTATTATAATTGCATGTAAATAATAATAATAATAATAATAATAATTTACAATTAAATATTATCCCATTTATAATAAAAATAGTGAGAAGAATAAGAAGATGAATAGAAAAAGAGAGGATGGAAGTAAGATACGGCGAGATAGAATGGGAGGGAGGAGCAGTTTAAGAATTAAGAAAATAATAATAAGAACAAAAAATCAATCATGTCTGTATAGTAAACAAAAAAAAACACACTGTATTACCTGGCATTGGGCCATGGGCCACGGTTGTTGCATGTTTCCCCCCCTTCTATAATTAGCTAGGAATATTATTAATTATATCTAGTATGATTATATTTATAAATATAAACATATATGTGTAATTGGTTGGTCAATTATATATACATGTTTGCACGATAGAACTCTAGCTGGTATCAAAAAGAAATAAATAAATGAAATAAGAAATATTATGATAATATGATGATATTGAATATGATAATGATTATGATATTGATGATTATGATGATGATAATGATAATGATAATGATGATGATGATGATAATGATTAAAAAAAGAAGATGACGATAAAGAAGAAGATGATTTTTAAAAGGAGAAGTTTGACGATGATAATGATGACAATGACTGTACCCAATGATGCATCCAATTCTTAGATAGTGTTTTTGAATATTATAAGAAAAAAAAAAAAAATGAAAGATAATGAAAGAAAGATAATTAATAAGAATTGTGAAGCAGCTAGATCTTGTTTTTGTCCTAATTTTTGTGGTTCTTGATAAAGTTTTTGATTTTAATATATTTATAATTTATGATATGATAATATACATGCATTCTATATATATATCAATCAAACGCAAATAATGAGGAGCATATCACACGAGATATTTATTTGTTACAATTTTATTATTATATTATTATTATTATTATTAATATTATTATTATTATTATTATTATTTTGTTTTCTTTCCATGCTTAAATCCGAATTTGAATTGACAATAAAGAACGGATTTAAAGCTTCTTTTTATTACATTTATAGTCTTAAATTGAACAGTTGGAAATGTACAAAATAATAAGATATTCGTTGTTGCTTATTTGCTGCTCCACATATTAGGTTTTTTGTATTCACCACTCACACTTTGGTGAGAGTGGCATATCTCTATAAAAAAAAAAGATAGAGAAATAAATAGATAGAAACGTCTTGAGTTTGAAGTGGATACATACACACATTCACACACACATACACAACACACACTTTAGTACCTAGATATTTTACTGTAATTCTTTAATTATTCTTCGTTTGTTTCCTTTAGGTTTATAATTATTGTTTTTCTTTTTTTTTTTTTGTTTGTTTGTATAAGTAATATATCTTGCAAATTGTGTATTTTTTCTAGTATAATTGTTTTTTCTTTTATTATTTTTGTTTTTCCTTTTTTTTCGGTTTTTTTTTCTTTTTTTTTTTTTTATACATGTAACAACGACAAAGTATCAAATATACATATACATATATATATATAGTACTACAGTACTATACAGTACTACAGTACTACACTACAGTACTATACAGTACTACAATACTTCAGTACAGTACTATACAGTAAAATATTATATATATATATATATTTTATTGTAATGTATCGTACTCGAAGTTTATTTTGAAATTTTATCTTTGAATTTTGGATTTATGTAATTAAAAAATAATTATATATATATATATATATATATATATATATATATATNATATATATATATATATATGTATATGTATATTTAATTAATTTTATTTTTCTTCTCCTCTAATTTACCAAATATTAAAAAAAAAAAAATAAAAAGAACATTTGACATTTTAATACGTTCGTTAGATTTGTATTAATAAAATAATTGATAGAAGTTTATTAGAGAAGAATGTTAATGAATAAATTACTTATAAAAATGTCTTTATTTTAATGTTACGACATAAATTGGTCATTTTATTAGGATTTATGATTATATAAATAATTATGTTCGTATACACACTTACATACATACATATATACATACATACATACATACATACACACACATACATATATACAAGAAAAAAAAAAAGAAAAAGAATTCACATTCAATGAATGGAATGCGTACTTTCACTTATATTTTACAACTATGTATTTAATTATCAATTTCTCACAATAATTGTGCACAATTTTTATTCATAATGCGGACATATTTTATGGAAAGAGTGAACATAAATATATCCGTGAAAATAATATATGAAAATTGTTTGAAAAGAAGGAGAGAGAAAATGAGAATTAAGAAAAGAAAAAAAAAAGATGAACAGAAATATGAAAGAAGCATTTTAAAATTAAAATTAAAATTAAAAAAAAAAAAAAAGAAGGATCATCCGATAATAATATAGCTGTATAAAGAAGAGATACATATATGAATATCTTTCCATAATTATCTTTGGAGACCACTCAATAATATCTGATTTCAATCAATTACACGATTGCGAATCATTTTTGGGTTTTTTTTGTTTTCTTTTGTGGGTAACAGAAAATGATTGAATGCGTCTCAAAAAAAAAAGAAATAAAAAACAAAAATAAGAACGGAAAGAAAGAAAGAAAGAAAGAAAGAAAGAAAAAGAATGAATGTGCTAATAAATTTTCTTTTACTATTCTCTTTTTAATATAACCCCCCCCCTCCCCCCGAACACACTTGTAAATAATACGTAAATATATATTCTACAGATTTATAGGTTATGTAAACATAATCAATATTGTATTATATTGATATAAAACAGACGCGATTTGTGGTATATATTATAAAAGTACATATATAAATATATATTATATTATAAAATAAATAAAATATTATATATATAAATATATACATATATACATACATATAGGATAAATGATTATAAAAATAAACAAAACAAAAAAAATATATATATATATATATATACTTATAATTCATAATTTTAAAAAAAATATTAATTAAATAAGATTTAGCCCGAGATAAAAAGGCCTGTTTTGAATTACAATTCAGGCACGTGGCGTGGCGTGGCGTGTGTCAATAAAGGAAAAACAAAAAAAATAAAAAAAAAAATACAAAAAAAAAAAAGATAGTATACAAAAAGTTATACACAGAAAACACAAAATACCCCCTTTCCCACCCCTCATTGCCTCGTATGCGTGTAATATCCCTTAATACAGAAAACACAACTTTTACATTAATCGTAATCGCATAAATCAATATTAAAATAAAATAAAATAAAATAAAATAAAATAAAATAAAATAAAATAAAAAATAAAGTGAATCTAGAAAATATCCAACATATATTGTAGTACTAGCACTACGCATCAAATGCTAATATATGATGGTGATTTGCAATGAATTTATGTTAATTTTTATTGTTTTCTGTACAAAGACATAATTAAACGATTTCAATCTCAAAATATTTTTTGGCTGTATTATTATTTAATATTATAAATCCTATAATTGATATTTATACCTTGGAATCTTTGAAGCCTATCATTAAAAGTATGTAGAAATTTTTTTTTTTTTTTTCCCCCCCCATTTAAAAAATTTCAATATAAATTTTAATTCGCATCATCAAATTTATACTTAAGAAAATGCAATAATAATTTATTTTTATTGTTAAAATACATAATCTCATTTCAGTGGGATAACTTTCCTTGGTAATAACTGTCTTTATAAATTACAGACTGTAATTTAAGCGGTAAAACCTGTTTCTGACTAACAGCTGATAAGGATGGAAGTATTCTTGAGAAGAAAGATATTATGTATATTTAAGGTTGAAAAAAGAAAACATACTTCAATAAAATCTGTTAAATTACTTACTACAAGGTCTTAAAGAAAGTATGAGGTATAATAATAATATACATTATAGGGGATACTTCAAGAATACTTTATACGATACTTTACTAATTACTTTAGATCATTGATATATATATATAAAATATCAAATTTTATTTAAATAGTTGTATAATTTTCTTACCAACAGAGGCTTAGGGAGATAGGAATAAATTTGTTTATCTTTTCGAAGATATTTTTCTTTTTCTTTTTATTTTAATTCTCCATTTTTTTTTTAAATATGAACCAAGTCTGCTTTCTTTTGGAAGATTTGAAATTCCCGCGTTTGTAGTCATTGCAATATGAAAAGTATCCGCTGTGTGACGCTAGTGGTTATATTGCCAACTTTATTCTTCTAATGTCACAATGATTTTAATACAAAATTTTACTAGAAAAGTGAAGTTATCGGAAAACCGTGCATTGCATCTAGCCAATAATAAAAAAAAAAATTAAAAATAGAAAACCGCTATTCTCTTACTTAAATTTAATCCTTGTTTTATAGAAGTTTTGTTTACACATAACGATTGATTAATATTTCTATAAAGTTTTGAATTAAATAAATAATTCTTTTTCAGTGTCAATAACTTTGTGTATTATAATACAGTTTAGTTGTATCACATTTATTCATTTGTAAACTAATCTAACCTCTTTAACGATAAAAAAATAAAAAATCATGGAAACACGAACAGAATTGAAAATAAAAACACCTCCAAATGATGCAATTTCTGCAGTTGAATTTGGTCCAAATTCAACACAATTTTTACTTGTTTCATCATGGGACAGTACAGTTCGATTATATGATATACATGCAAATAGTATGAGGTTAAAATATAACCATGATTTACCGGTTTTGGATGTGGCATTTCAGGTAATGTATCAATATTATAAATAAAAAGATTATATTTATAAGAATAATTAACAAACTATTGTTTACAGGATGCGGTGCATGCTTACAGTGGTGGTTTAGGAAACACATTGAAGATGTATGATATTAACAGTAACAGTGGTAATGAGAGTTTTAGTTCTAATTTTCTGTATTATAAATAATTTTGAACAAGTTTCCTATGGAAAAATGTCAAACTCAGTAGTATTTTGACAGAATCAGTTATGGGAACACACGACAAACCTATCCGAAAAATAGAATATTGCGGTGCAGTAAATGCTATATTAACCGGTGGTTGGGATGCTGCTGTAAAACTTTGGGATCCAAGAACTCCTACTTGTGTCGGTAGTTATCTACAACCAGACGTAGTATTGGCATTATCTGTTTGCGGAGATAAATTTGTCGTTGGTACTGCTAAAAGAAAAGTGTGTATTTGGGATTTGAGAAATATGGCTGGTATGTTTCAAAGACGAGAAAGTAGTTTGAAATATCAAACAAGATGTATTAAAGGATTCCCTAATGAACAGGTAAATAAAAATGTGTTGTATATTATTTATATTAATTGATAAAATATTTGTTGCTTATAAATAATTATTTTCTTGATTTGTCAGGGTTACGTTTTAAGTAGTATAGAAGGTAGAGTGGCAGTTGAATATTTAGATACGACACCTGAAGCACAAAAGAAAAAATATGCCTTTAAATGTCATCGAATAAAAGAGAATAACGTTGAACATATTTATCCAGTTAACGCTATTAGTTTTCATTCAACTTATAATACCTTTGCCACTGGTGGATCAGATGGTTTTGTTAATATATGGGATGGTTTTAACAAAAAACGTTTGTGTCAATTTCACAGATATAACGCTGGTGTTGCTGCACTTAGTTTTACCCATGACGGTTCTGTACTTGCTATAGGTGTATCTTATTTAAATGAATCACAAATACCACCTGGTGGTACGGACGAAATAGAAATTTATATAAGATATGTTAACGACCAAGAAACTAAACCTAAGTAACATCATAACCCATTTTAATAGGAATTATAGTTCAAATGTTGTTTATTTATATTGCTCGCTAAAGAATCATATATTAATACGGCATTGAAAACTTTTGAAACGAATATTCCTTTTTCTATGCATTGTCATGTAAATATTCAAAGAAACATCAGGAATTTTACACTTTTATATTTCTAAAGACATTTACTTCATTGTTAACCGTAAATTGTGAATGGTTAATATAAATATATGTTTAAACATTATAACGATTCTTAATTGAAGTGTGAATTAACTTATTTAAAATTTATTCAAAAGAAAAATGAATTATTTGAATAAACTATCATTTTTTTTTCCTTTTTTTTTTTTTTCTAAATATTATTGCTTCCTCATTATTACATAATTGTACCTAGGCTCATGTTTATAAATAGCAAAAAAATAAAAAATGATATTAATTATATAACAAGTTACTTCAAAACACACACACACACACACACTCACACATTTTGTACTATGGTCAAAATTTATATTCACATTCATAATTCATAATATTATAATAATACTTATAAGAACGAAATAAAAAAATAGACGTATTTTTATAAAAGATTATATTTTGCTAAAAAAGACTTTAAATATAACTAAATACAATTATTTTTACGAGAGAAAAAGGCACGACCCCATAATAAAATATCACTGAAAAAGATTCAAATATTCTTCACTATATCGTTCAATTGACATTATTTTGTTTTTTTTTTTTTGGTTTTCTTTTAGAGTTGTCCAGTAAATAAAGTAAATATATTTTATATATTATAATATCATTATCTCTCACTTGTGTATATATATATATATATATAAATAAAAAAAAAAGGGAGAAAGAGATTTATGAAATATCTTGTCTCTTCCTCTCTCTCTCTCTCTCTTTCTCTCACATTAATTATTATATAAATATACAACAAATACATCATTATATACAGATACAATTAATCAAAATTTCTTCACTAAAAATGTGGACTGACAACATTAAAGATAAAAAATGTAATATACAAATGAAAATATTTTTCTTGTTCAAAAAATATTTCAATCTGTTTTTTTTTTTTTTTTTTATATTTCAATATATATATATATATTACTTAACATTGGACAATCTCTGTAAATCCTTCGTTATATATATATATATGTATGTATGTATATCTATACGAAGCATTTTGTGAATTGTGCTAGTTTCAAATATACACGATTATTATTATTATTATTATTATTATTTTTTTTTTTTTTTTTTAATAATTTTATCGTGTTATTAGTTATTGTCAAAATTATTTTTACGATACAATATTAATTCATCGCGATAAAAAAAAAAAAAAAAACAACTCTTAAAAATACTTTTATGTCAAACAATCTAATTTTTCAATAAATTGAGCGTACGAACCTTGCACTTGAATTATTATATACAATAATGATCCCCGTATTTTCTTGTTTATATATATATATAATATATATTATATATAATATATTATATAAATATATAATATATATATTATAATATATATATTATATATATAATATATAAAATAATATATAAAATATAATAATAAATATATAAAACTTTACATAGAAGAAATAAGAAGAAAGGAAGATATATGATAATGTTTCTTTTTTTTTTTTTATCGAAATATAAATATTATTTAATATATTTCGATAAAATTGAATTAAAATTCTTCTTCATTTCTTATATAAGTACATGCATTATTATTTAACGAACGAACGCGGGCTTATCAAAGATTTCACACATACAAATAATTATTCGTGTGAATAAATTTGAAAATTTGTTAGAAAGTTTTGAACAAAACTTAAACTTGTCGTTGCATAACGATTGAAAATTAATTCAAAATTATTTCAGCAATATTGTACATAGTGCAATATATGTTTATGAGCTTATTGATAATGAATGACAAGATAACATGAAGATCGTGAAAATATTTGGTTCGAATAAATGAAGTTTGTTAAGTGTGAAAATAAAAAAAAAAACATTTGAAAAGCCCTGAGATTTAACGCACGCATTTTAAACAATTTAAATATAAATGATGTTAAAATATTGAATTACTATAATTATTTATTCATTTGGGAGATCAACGTGCGTTTGTGTGGGTTTTTGTCATTGAAATTAATTATAAATTTATGTTAATTTTTTTTTCTTTTAAATAATTTGCAAAATGACAGTAAGATTAAAAAACGAACAAAATGATAAAAATATAAAATTCTATCAAAAGATCTAAAAAAAAAAAGAAAAAAAAAACCGACAAAAATTAAAATATACTTCGAAATTTATATATATATATATATATGTATGTATGTATGTATGTATGTATGCATTTTTATGTTCGTCATTATGTCTGATATTATTTTTCCTTTTTTTTTTCTTTCTTTCTTTTTCTTTTTAAAACAATTTCTTTAACATTGTAGACAACAGTACGTATATATAACATTTAACAATTTTTACTAATAATTCTTCATCATCATCATCATCATCATCATCATCATTTTCTTTTATATATCGACACGTGAGTGCGAATATATATCGCATTATATTTTTCTATCGAGTTTAATTAACAAGAAACAAAAAAAAATAAAGGTTCATCTTAATCGATGATAGATAGATGATCAATGAAATGATCTATATAAGTTTTGAAAGGATGATTATTATTATCCTTTCAAGAAACAAAAGGAGATCGAATTTTTAATTAAAAATGTTGTACTCGAATCAACAATAGTTGACGCAAGATTGAATTCTTCATTTCTCTCTCTCTCTCTCTCTCTCTCTCTCTCTGTTTCTTCTTCTTGTTCTTCTTCATTATTATTATTATTATTAATATTATTATAATCAATGTCTATTTTTAATCTGACACATTTGTTCCGCAAATAATTTTTCGTAAAATATCACGTATCCTGTCGTATGTTGCAAAACTGATGCCTACTGCTATTGGACCCTTAACCCAATTCATACTTAATCCTTTGAAAAAAGCCATCAGTCCTTCCTCTCTAAAAAAAAAAAAGAAAAGAAAAGAAAAGAAAATACGTTTCAAATATTTCATTGAATAATGTTAACGAATCTTCGTAATATTAAATATTAACTCTGTAAATATAAGAACAAGTGTTCTTATTACAATATTGTGAAACGTAAAAGTTGATCAAACATTACATTTCTAAAATTATGAATTAATTATGAATTATGATAATGAAATAATTAAATATCATACTTGTATATTTTAACTATGGTTGAGGTAACAGTCTGATAATGACGATTCTTTATGGCAGCAGTTTGCATTCTTCTTCTTACAATATCCAAAGGATAACTGCTAGTTTGTCCTACTACACCAGCTACTGCACCACAAAGAAGTGACAAGGCAGTTGTCATTCCAGGGATTTCAGATGTATAATGGGAATATTCTATTTAATAACAAAACGCAATATTTTTATATAAAATATTAAGAAGTAATTAATAGTATTAATAATATACGTAGGTTGGAACTTAAATAGTGGTAATTATTTATTCACAACCGATACAAAAGAGTTACATGCTTGCACCTGTTACTGTCCTTCATAATAGTCACCAGTGTTGTACCCGTGTAGAACCCGTTGCCAGCGATTTGGAAGGCTTAGTATACTATTAGCAGAGCCTGCTCTGTTGATGGTGCGAATGGATCGGTCTACTGCCTGTGTGATATCTCTGGAACAGTTCTGAAGCGAATGCCACGATGGGTTCTGTATGAATTGACGGAAATGCAGAAATGGATGCGTTACGATGCTGCTCAGACGCACTTGGAACGCTATGAGAGCGAATGAGAGGCTTCCTTACGCCATATCGTAATATTGGATGAGACATGGCAGTAGACTGCTCCATTCGCATCATCAACAGAACAGGCTCTGCTGACGATATGCTACGCCTTCCACATCGCTGGCAACGGGTTCTACACGGGTACAACACTGGTGACTATTATGAAGGACAGTAACAGGTGCAAACAGGTACAAACTCTTTTGTATCGATTGTGAATAAATAGTTGCCATTATTTAAGTTTCAACCTACGTATATAGTAGTATAGTATAATATACAATAGTATAGTAATATGTTTCTATATATAGTAGTATAGTATAATGTATAATAGTATACTAATAATATATAGTAAATAATCTTCTTAATTAATAATTAAGTAGTAAACTTTTTCAAGTGTTTTTCAAAAGAACAAAGTTTGAGGGTAGTGTGACGATTAGGGGATGATTTTAATAATAATTTATTAAAATTATTATTTTATTTAAATAATGATGATGATGATTAGGAAATATTAATATAAAATAAAAAATAAAAGCTCACCTGCAACTAGGTGTTTGAGAGTATCATAAGTAAAGAAACTTGTTCCAGCGTATGGTATAACACCTAACATCGTTGGTGTAAAACCACGATAAAATGCTAAAAAACCTTCATCCTTATAAATCCTTAGAATCATTTGTCTTAAAGTTTTATATTCACTTTTCAATGTCACTGCCATACGTGCACGTACGAGATCAAGAGGATAAGTTAAACCCTGTGACGTAACACCAGCTAAAGAACCCGCCATTAATCTTTTTACAGGTACAGCTCTGAAAAAAAAGAAAAAACAAAAGAAAAGAACATTTAAATTTATAATTTTATTCAATATAATAAATTATTTATTATGTATGGATAATTATGTTTAAAAAAAAAAAATAATAATTTATGATAATAAATGATTAGTTAATTTACAGTTGAAAAAATAATAATAAAAAATTTTTGTGAATAATTAATTAAATAAATAAATTATACTCTTGATCGTGTATAATTAATTAAATCTACATTCTTACGTTTCTGGATTTTCAACTTGAAGTATTCTCTTCCATTGTTCATGAGCTGTAAATTGAATAGCTGCATATGGAACAATCCTAGCCATAGTTGCACTGTTACCTCGCCATAAACTCAATAATCCTTCCTTTTGAAATGAATTGATAAGGAAAACTACAGCAGCTTTTGCCGAGTATGGTTTTTGTGAAATTTGAAAATTGATCTTTGTACGATCTAATGGTGCTATCACTGTCTTTGCTAAACCACCTGCTGTTGCACCAGCCAATAAACTGGTCCATACCCTTTGCACGTTCGAAATGTTTTCCTTGCATTCTTCTGTTTTCTATTAATTAATAAAATATTCTACAATTATTTATATAATTATATTAAAATTTTTAAAGTATTACATATATATGTATTATTATATTTATAGTATATAAATAGTATAGTTTAATTAAAATAGTACAAATATTTTAATCTCTAGTTTTGTATTGTATATACAAAATTGTATAATTTATTTTCGATAAATTTTTATTTTATAATTTCATTTACTATTGACAAAAATAAATCTAAAAATACTTTAATAATCATAAATTATTTCCAAATAATATACTATTAAATACATATTAATATACTATACAAATACAAATTAATACAATATTAATATATACTATATAATATATAAATATAATATATAATATTAATATACAAATAATTAAAATATAATATAAATTATATAATGATTAATATATATATATATATAATATAATATATATAATATATAAATATAATAATATTAATAATTAATTTATAACAAAAAAAGCAAAATTCCTCAAAAAATTATAATTACTATTAAACAACAAATTATAATAATATTAAAAATAATAATCTAATCAACGACATAGTCACAACATTGACATAATAAATAAAAAATAATATTGATAATAATCCATTCGAGAAATAAAAATAACAAAACTTTGAAAAAATGATACAAAAGAATCAAATACATACCGTGGTTTGATCCAAGTTAATATCGGATCGTGATGAAGATTGAGTAGGTTGTGTCATGGATGTGTTCCTCCACCTACTAGCAGGTACGTTTGACACAACTATAAGTCCTCTTCAGAACTACTTGACTACTTTCCACGATATTTGAACCAACGTGTCCACTCATCCTTTTTGACTATACATTTTTGAAATGTTCATATATATGTGTTATAATTAATAAACAAAGGACAGGAACACAACAGCAACGAATTTTCAGCAATACCACCGACACCTTTGATGATTTCTTGTCGTCAATGTTTTACGAAACCGACTATGAAAAAAATTATAGTTTTATTATGATTTGTTTTCTAGTAATTAAACAAAAACAAATTAAAAAAATCAACATAAAATGAATGAAATAAATTTAGAATGATCTGTCTTTGAATATCAACGAGATACTAACAGATATATTTTCAATGTATTATTGTATTAAAATAATATGCTTTGTTTTAATCAAGTTTATCGTATACAAACACCTTGGTGGGAGATAATTATATACTGATATGTTTGTTTCCTATCTTTCTTCCTATTTATGTATTATCTATCTATCTCTGTTTAATTATCTATCCATTTATCTATTCTTTTCTACAGGATATTACAAAAGTCATTTTATTATTTACCATTTTATCATTTTATCATTTTACCAAATTACAAAATAAAAATACATTTCTATCGCAATACAAACACACGTTAAACAATTAATTTAAATTTATTGTTAATTATATTTTTGATTAAAAAAAAAAAAAAGTTTATTTGCATATTTTGAGATTATTAGTTTATTTAAGTTATTGTAAATTATTTAATAAATTTATAATAATATATATATATATATATATA